GGGGGGGGGGGGGGGGGGGCTCGTGGTGGAGAGTGGTAGTTCGTACTCGAGCATACGATAAGAACAGTAACTCACAGGAAGGCAAGGTGGCAAAGGTCCAGGAAGAGGCCCACGGTGATCACCACGCACGCGACTCTGAAGGAGCAACGTGCTTTCTGGCACAGGCCTATGCCGCCCACGATGATGCCGATCAAGCTGCCTGGAAGTTGTACTGACGGAGTCCAACATGCACCAGCGAGTGGGATCGGAGGAGGCGTGTTAAGGGCGGGGGAGGTACAGCAGTAGGGTCGTGTCGACCACCAAGAGTCGGTATGATCCTACTCTGTCCATTTGAATGAATGAAGACACGATCAAGTCTAATAGCAGGCGCAATGGACATTTACGCATCAATTCAGTAGGTAAGGTGGGTTTCACCCCAATCCTTCAGGCCGCTGCCATCATATCAAGAATCGAAGCGACCTTTTCAGCAAGTCCTCCGAACGTACTGTATGTTGCCCCCGAAATGGAACATCAAGGATTGCTACTACTTTCAGCTCTTCATTTCAATTCTTCGGGTACGGCCAACGTCGTGCGCAATAAACGTACACTGAGCGACCCACCAGCACGGAAGCCCCGCCTACTCTGTCTACATCACACCGGTCAAATTCATCACTACTCACAATATCCCGACGTTGATACGGCCACGACATGGATGACGAGGACAGCAATCGCCGCCCTTCGTATCTGAGGAAATCACAAATGTCAGACGAAAGAAAATTGCAGCGCGGGGGGCGGAGATGTTCTGTAATCCATAATACTGCATGCATGCACGTGAAGACCTCACAATTGTTGTGGCACCTTGATGTCATCAAGGGCGTAACAACGCAAATGACTACTGGCTGTAGGTTGCTTCCGGTTTAGGTGCTGAGTCTGAGGGATGATCTCGCTGTGTTTCCCTGTTGTTTTTTCTGCACTGCTGTGTTCATACCACGTCAAAATGTTTCTTGTACATATGATACCACGATATATCATATATATATATATGATACCACGACTACGATATGTAAGACACAACGAACCGTTTCTTGCGGGGAACGGTGACACCACGAAAGCCGACATGTTCTTCGTATATAGACATCCATCAACCGATGAGATTCATTCCTTGGTTGTAGCAATATAAGACAGGTGTAGCAATGTAAAAGAGTTGTTCTTCCGAAATGACATGCAGCATGCATCTACCGATCTTGCCGGTCACACAAAACGACAGAACCACATTTTTCACTGCAAACGGCATAATGTAGGGTTTGTCCTCGGCACTATTGTCATTGACCCAGTAGAAGAGCCATGCAGACTATGTCCAGTACAACATATCGGGATTACTCCTGCCCCCCTTTACACGCTCCGCTTTTAGCAAATAGAACAGTACAAGGATCGGGTTGGACCAAATGTCAAGGGCTAAAGGTGAACACGACAAAATGAGTGTTGCGAGACTGCTACTCTATGCAGCCCACGCTCCTCAGTCACGACCGGCAACCGCAGTGTGGTGATGGATCGGATGCCGATCCTCTTCATATCTGGGTGGCCTTGAATGCATACGTTTGAGAGGAGAGGACAAAAGTCGCGAGATAGTGCGCGGAGCGCGAAGGATGGTGTGTGCGCGAGTGTGTGGAACAATCATGTCCCTCCTTTGTTGCCAAACAAGTTCGGAACGCGAAACTCAAACTCAAACATATGTCAAACGTCTCGACGCACGGATCCGAACACTGAAACGCTGCAGATTTAACTTTCTTCCAAGTGACTTTGGGTTCTCCAAGGATAGACCAACGGTCAAGGCACAGTGATCCAAATCCGCCCTACTTACCGTTGGACAACTTTTCCCCCGAAAGTAACATCTTACACCAGCTGTTATGGAAGGAAATAGAAAATACTTCCTGGGATTTGGGTTTGTGGTGAGGCAGATCGAACATAGCACTCATCACGGTGCTATTATTTGCCGGAAATCTGAAAACACAGTTCCCAGATACCCCAGATGTTCCCGGCCGGCTGGTATTGGGGGTACAGTCTCAGTCGAGAGATTTTTCGTGGGATTTGGGTTTGATGCTGTTTTAGAGGCATTGCTGTGCGCGCGCGGCACCAATGGCATTGCGTTTGCATCGCACCCATTAGGTATCATATCCACGTGGTACTACAGACCAGATGTTGACATATGTGTGTGCACTCCTTGCTGCTGTGCATCTTGAACACACCAATCGAAAAGATATCCGCGAGGGAATTCTGGAGTTACGCTCATTCGGAAATAACCTGTATCTATCTTTGTACCGCTGCTGCGCTACAGCACAACTAACCGTTGTTGGTTTTTGGGGTGTATTTATATGATCCTCAACACAGATGTGTCCCTCTCGATCCTTCGGCAAGGGTCACTGTTGTTTATGTCTCGGGTGATAGTTCGCAAAACCAATCGTCGCCTGTCCTGTGCGGGTCAAAGCCAGCAAGCCCGCGTTGTTCATCCGTTTGCCGATCGTAAGGCTTGATCTCAAGAACCACAGCAATCCTTTTCGGGTGTGGGAATTCATGGTTCACCGGTATTGGTTCCCTTCCACACGCGTTGGGCACACCACCGTAGGAAGTATCAATTTATTACGATATACCGTATTCGGCGGAGTTTTCCCCGGGTGGAGGGGAATTTGTTTTGCTTCNACGGAGCATTGTTCCCACAGGACCGATCACCGATGGCCAATCGTTCCTTTCTACTTTGCCAAAGGTGGCTCATGCCTTCCATAGTCTAGCCATCCTACCGATAACCCTTCCCGCCTTTTCAAACCACTTCCTATTTCCCAGTACCGCTACCGTCTTCTCTCTATCCCATGCCTCAAACATCTTCCTGTACGTCCCATCTATTTTTCCCAGCTCAATCATGTACACTTTCCTCTCCTTTTCGTATAATTGACATTCCGCGACTAAATACATGAACACGGTCTTCGCACNCGATCACCGATGGCCAATCGTTCCTTTCTACTTTGCCAAAGGTGGCTCATGCCTTCCATAGTCTAGCCATCCTACCGATAACCCTTCCCGCCTTTTCAAACCACTTCCTATTTCCCAGTACCGCTACCGTCTTCTCTCTATCCCATGCCTCAAACATCTTCCTGTACGTCCCATCTATTTTTCCCAGCTCAATCATGTACACTTTCCTCTCCTTTTCGTATAATTGACATTCCGCGACTAAATACATGAACACGGTCTTCGCACTCGAAGCCGCAATCACATCTGAACTTGTCGTCTTCGTCGTCTACCGTCCTATGTCTTCGTCAACGTTCTCCAACGCCTACGTCCCCGGTCCTGAATTTGACCTCAAGCTTTGTCCCTGCATCCATCGGTCCATGTAGGTAATCCTTGAACCCTATTCCTTCCTTAAACATTCCGTACACCTCTAGACCCTCCTTATCCTTGATTTATTTCCTTCGATTANTCAAAAGCTTCATTCTCCGAGGGCACTCCAAGTCTCTTGTAGTGTCCTGCCAGAACTTCCCTTTTTCCCTTCCCACTGCTGACCAGNGCTCCTGCTGCTTTGTGGCACTTCAGCTTGTTCACACACGCCTCAACCTCGTCTTCAGTGAACTCCTTCTCTAGCTCTACGTTCCCAACGTCTACCTTCGATGTTTCTTCTTCTGCNTCATCTGCGCCGCCTCGAGTTCTTTCACTACCTTCTTATTTCCTTCCCATACTTCTCCGGCGTACTCTAGCGGCGGTACGATTTCGCTCTTCAAAACCGTCAATTTGATGCGTATATCGACNAAAAGCTTCATTCTCCGAGGGCACTCCAAGTCTCTTGTAGTGTCCTGCCAGAACTTCCCTTTTTCCCTTCCCACTGCTGACCAGTCCACCGTTCACACCTCGCAAAGTTGCGACCCCTGTATGCCCCCCTTGCGCGGTCTTCTGTACCATTCCAATAATCCCTTCCCACATCTGCTTGACGTTCCCCTCCAGGCCTCCGTTGACCTTCTGCACTACTTCGTCCTAAATGCACATTTTCTTTTTTTTCACTAATCCTTTCACCTATTTTCTCTTGGCCCTGTACTTTTCCTAACTCCCCTCAGACCTCTCACTCAGGTACTGCTTGAAGACTCAACTACGTTCCCCTATTTCTTCTTTCAGCTCGTCATCCCACCACTTAACCGATACCCCACATCGAATGATACCACCTTCTTTCCCACTACTCTCTCTGCCGTTGCGTTCATTATGGACTCCCACCCTTCAATCACCCTGTGCCTTGCTGCTTGTACGTCTACCTGTCCGTCTTCGACGGTTCTCAGCAGTTTCCTGAAGAGTTCTACACTACCAGCCAGTCCCTTCTGGAATTCACCCCATGTCCCCTCGTCTCCCTAACGCTCTACTTTAACACTTTCCTCTGTTTCTTACTTTCCATGTGTCTAGATCGCTCGATGTATGCCCTTAACCCCCCCGGGGGGATAATTGGATAATTGAACCGCGGGGGGGGGAGGTAGTGTCAGATGTCCTCTGAAATGGGGCCCTCGGCGTAGAAGTAAGAACAAGCCCCCGGATTATCATACGGATATGCCTGCTCGAAGTAACATTTTTGAAAATAAGAAGAAGCGCTCAATTTGAGGCAGCGAAAAAGCATCGAGCCTCGGCCACAATAAGCGGTTCTTAAGTGCGGGCGCCATCTGTACCGTTTCCCGTCCCCCGGCGTGGGACAGAAACTGGTGGTCCACACCACGAACACACGCGAAGAGTGGTGAAGCCGCGATGGCAGTCTTGAGATCGGACCATTAACACTTGTGTGGCAAGTTCGGCAAAAACAATCCTCCCGGGGGGGAAAAACTCATGGGAAAGTTGGTACTCTGGGGGGGATTGAGAAAGGGCGGGGGATTTTTTTCTTGTTTCCGACATACGATCCACCCCGTGGGGAGATCAGAGATCAATGTTGTCAAGCCGAAAACGTATAACGGTGGGGGGGGGGCAAGTTCTTGAGAGGGGGGAAATTCCACCGATTGCGGTCACACTGACACTGAAATATGTCTTGATGTATGGTACTTTGAGTTCTGGAAAGATATTGACAACGTCTAGTAAGGGTATGCAACAAAGTTACCCCGCACACATTGCTACCCCCCGGGCGGACCCAATGTAAGAAGATGTTTAATTCTTCCCCATTCGTGTTGTTTTTATTGACCGTATTCCTTCTTGTAGTAGATACAGCAGTTGTGAAGATCAACACAAACCTGTTAGACCTTTCCGAACAGATGAAACACTGGCACTAAAGGCACACGACAATCACCTACTCCAGAGTACATGATTCATGTGCGTAAACCACATCGAATCAATCTCAAAGTGCAAGCAAAGCCCGGCGAAGCATCACGCCTCTACCCGCGCGTGAACCACGAACCCAGTGCTCGACGAACACCGTGGAACATACTTAGGAGCTCAGTGTTCCGTTCCGCCTACCGTTTGTTCCCCCTACTGCTTTCCGACAACTATTAATGTTGCCGCCCTGAACACCAAGCCAACTTCGAAAGACGTCCTTTTCGGGGTGCGTTTACGCCCCCTGGCGCTTTATTCGGCCCCTCTCCCTTGTCCTCCTCCTCTTCCTCCTTCCCCTCCTCCTCCTCGTCCTCCTCCTTTTCTCCCCCTCCCACCCCAACCCCTACCCCCGTCCCCTTTCCTCACTGCCGTCCCCTTCTGGAGTAATAGGAGCCACTTCTGCTGAGTTCTCAACTATTGGATGGAGTAATAGGCTAGGATAACGAAAGATACCACCCCCCCCCCCCC